CTCTGGTTTCATCCCGAGCCTCCCCTGCGAGGCCTAGGCGGGTCTCCCCCAAAATCGTCACAGATGCTGCCTCTCCCCCCCCCCAAATCGCTCCCTAAATCTAGCGGCGTCCACCCCCCGCGAGTCTACTCCGGCACGACACCGCTGCTACCGAGCACCAAATCGAAAGCTCCCCTTCATCCAAGACTCTTCCGCCTCCCAAAATCTAAGGATCCCGATCTCTCTCAGAGGTAAGATCCAATCTCTTACTAAAGAATCCTTGTTAATGCTTTGCGTTTGATTAAAAAGTCTTAATTCTTTTTTTTTAAGATCCAGCAACTAATAACGTTACCATATTTATGCAAATTCTTTTTTTTTTCCTCCCTTTTCTTTCTACTTTGAGCATATGATACTGAAATGCAAGTATATACTTTTAAATTTTTTTTAAAGAGTCGTATGCTTTAATTTTTTTTGATGGGGAAGTTTACGACTTGTGTGAACTGAGATCATGTCAAAATTTGACTTGAACGCTGCACTGAGCTCTTTTGATGGAATAGGACAAACAAATTCAATCTAGAATACCAAAAACTATTATTCATGGCAATTTTTTACTCATACATTAATTGCTGGTGGCTTGATGGCAGTTAGAGAAAGAAACATCAAAATAAGAGGTCAATTATTCCACAGTTGTCCTCTATAAAACAAAATAGGAACACATATCAAAATCAAAATATAGGAATACTTGGACAGAAAAAGTTTAAGTTCCTTTTTATTTAATTTATTTGTTCTCCGGTAGTAAAGTTCTTGCCACATAAAAGCAAAAGGAAATAAAAAAATTTGTATGTTTATTCAACTTGCAGATGTCTAAAAACATTAACAGCAGGTTATTCGAAGCTAACCCCAGTCAAGACCAATCCACTGAGGAAGAGCCACCGAGTTCAGGAGAGATGTCAGGTATAACTTAGTTTAACTTAAGTATTTTTTATTCATGATATATGCACAATGATAATTTATTTCTTTTAATTTTTTAGGTGAGGGTGAGGAAGAGCCGACTCCCGTGCCATTATATGCAGATCCTCCAGTGATACTTCGAGCATATATTCCCGGGATTGAGCGCGGGCCTTTACCAGCATGTGCAGAGGGGTACAGACTCAAGCAGACAGAAAAGTACATGCTTGCAAAAAAACGATTGGATGAATGGGGCCCACAGATTGATGAGATTTTATCTGATGCAAAAAATGAAATCAGACAAAGATTTGGTGAGTTTGATCAAAAATTTTCATTCCGAGTCTATTATTCACATATAGGTTTTTAGCAGACAGAAAAATACAATTTGATCCTCGCATATTATTCACATATAGGTTTTTAGCTCAACTAGTGACAACAAGATATATGGTGACAATATACCACAAAACTAGACCAATGCCAGCACAAATAATTTCATACAGTCTAGGCAAACCATGTTATGGTAAAGGCATGAGTCTTAGGCCCCGTGCCTATGCACAAGTTTGTCAAATTATATGTGGCTCATGTCTAACATTTTTCTACAACTAGAAAGAAAGCCAAAGTAATTTATAAAAGTTAATATTGATACTGATATTACTCTTGTTTAGAGGAATTTGCAATTTCATTTGATGGTAAAAGTCCAAATCTTATGCAATAGAAGAGAGTAGGTGAGTTCTTTTGGTTGAATTCATGTTTGATCTTCAGTTTGAGTATAAATTTTGGTGTTTATAATTTGTATGAAATTATTTATTTAGTGAGAAAAAGGCAACAACTGGCTGCTGCCTTTTGTTTTGTGAGTTGATGCTTCTTTGAGTCAGCTAAGTTTGGACGTTTAAGCTAAGGATTAAACTTTAAAATCTTGTTGTTTTATAAGTGGCACGTGGGTTTGACCGTAAATATAATGTTACCAGTGAATAAAGTTTCAGCCTTAAAAGTAACTAAGAAGAAAAGATTTTTCATATATTGACATTTTTAACTCTAGAAAACATTCAATATATTTTTCATATCTTTATGCAACTAGAAAACATTCAATATATGCTCGAAGTATCACTAGAAAACATTCAATCTAAGAGCTTAAGTGTTGATATATCTATTATTTTTTATTTGTTGTAGGAGAAAAACTTTACCAGAAAAAAGGACGCCAAGGAAGTGACTTCAAAAAAAAGTTACCGCCGGATGGTTTTCGAGCAATTGTGAGATGGGGACATAATGGGATTCCAACCGGACAATGGGCTAATAACTTTAGCTCATACCTTGGATGCTTGATACGGAGGAGTGATAATGTGAATCCTTATTACGAGGCTTGGGAGCAGCCATTTCATGTCCTGGAGAGTATATATCGAGAATGTTAGGTAAATTCTGCTATTTAGCACAATTATTTTTCAATTCTGTCAATTGTCCATGCTTAACTATATTTTAATTTTTAGAGATATTTCAACATCGAAGACAATCCCGTAGGGTGGGAATTTTTATTTGGATACCAGGGAAAGTTCAAGCATTCTCTTCGGGAGTGGAGACACGAGATAAAGAAGAAATGCGTTGATTGTTTCACTCACAACTGGGAGAGGATATACAAGCGAGATAAGAGGGTTGAGCCTGAGCACTTAGCTGCACTTATAATATTGTGGGGCCAAGAGGAGCACCAGGTAAATATGTATAGTAGTTAATTATCATCAAGTTATTTATCTGAAACTAGTGATATATTTCATTGTATATTATAGCTTGTACTAAAATTCTCTTTGTTCATGTTGAAGGAAAAATGTCGGAGAAATAAACTTAATCGATGGAAAAAAGATTATGATCATCATACGGGGACTACTTCATTTGCCCAGATTGAGGATCAATTTTGTAGGACAACGGTATAAAGTCTTTTAATCTTCTATATATATTCTCTCCGCTTCCTAGAATATTTGATAAATAAAACTAATAAATATATTGTTAAATCTCAGAACGCTCCCTTTATCCCGCTACCAGAACTGCACAGGAGAACGATGGTTCAATTTAAGAAGGGGTATGATGACGATGAGAATAAAAAACAAAAGCTAGAATTGGCCAAGAAAATGTAGGTTAACTAATTATCTTAGCTCTTAGTAGCCTGTTCTTTTGTTGGGAATTTATTGTTTGCACTCTTCTTTTGGTCATCTTAATTATCATGTATGATCCAAATGCACATGTGTTCGATATGTTGTTTGTTACAATTTAACGAGGGAAGAAAGCTTTAAACCACAGAGGGATTTCTTTGTTCATCTGTCAGGTTCAGTCTATAGATCTAGTGAAAGCCTGAAAAATGTTTAGCTCAACTGTCCTAGGGAAATGAAACCTGTAGTGTTTTTAGTTAAAAATGCCAATATCCAGTCTTTTCACAGAAAGGTTTTCGATTTTCTGTTCAGTTATGATTGAGCCTGACCTGATTGAGCCTGACCAAGTTTAAAAGATATATGTGCACGAATGTTTGTATACAGGGGGTGGGGGGGGACTCTTTGTCACATTTTTTATTCTCTTCAACTGTTAACTATAGGTAACTCTGTCTTTTATCTAAATGGATCACAATGGAAACTGTAGTTTGCAAAAAGCAAGCTGAAGAACTAAAATTGAAACCTGTAAATCTCTAGCTACAACTTGAAAATAACTATAGTACTAAGGAAATCCGTAGTCAATTTTGCCCTTAATTTGTAGATAAAGTTTAGATGGACAGGATAGTCAAAGGCCATCAATTGTTTGATGGAGTATTTCTTGCTATAATTGATGGAGTAGAGTTTAATCTGGTCTTAATCAAGTGCTATAATAGTGGCATGTGACATCTATACTTACGTACAGAAACCTCTACCTCTGGTATCAAAGACATGCTTTAAAATAATTTTATGTGACGTAATGTGTTTGGTCTATTTATTTACTTTTTAAGCGCATAGGTTTGACTCTAATTGGATCGTGTTATGGTCCTTACCACAAAGATATTGTATCTTTTTCTTAAATATTTTTTGAACAAATATTTTGATCAATTGTGCATGGTCTAGTAACTTCAGAAGCAGACAGAACCCCACACGTTCACTTTTAGTATTTTGATCCGATGTCTCCAAACGACGAGGAAACATCATATGCAGTGCGTGAATCCAATAATATTGGATGAATTTGGAAATTTGGAAATTTGGAGATTTTCTCCACTATAAAAGAAAAAAAAGAATAGTGGCGAGAATACTGTCTCATAAAAATCTGTTGATTTATCTAGTTTGTGATTTCTCTAGTTTGTGATTATAATTCGTTCTAAATTTAGTACTGCATGGTTCATGTAATCTAGACCCTCTGTTTTCAAAATGAAATTCGATGGGAAAGTTCTTAGGATCCGCCGTTGATGAGTGTGTGTCTGTGCGCATGTGTCTATTTATGTTTCTGTTTGTGTATGCATGGATATTACTTGGATGTGTGTTTATGCTTGTGTTTATCTATGTATGGTGTATGCATGGATATTACTTGGATGTGTGTTTATCTATGTATGGTGTAGGTGTGGATGGTATGTGGGTGGGTGTTTGTGTGTGCATCTGTTAATTATGACAATGACAATGATCAGGGCCTTAGTTTGATACCCTGTCATAGTGCTTATATACTGTCAACCATTTATTAGCACTTAGCCGTCCTCAGTTGTGGAACTATTTCATCTTTTATTTTACTTGTTCAGGTAAATATCTTTTATTTTTGAAAGGCCAATTCTTAAATTTATTTTTTCGTCTTTTAGGAAGCTCTGGAAAATACATATTCTGAGGTTGTTGCACAGAGCCAGGAGCCCCTGACTAGAGAGCAGAATTATAATGTGAGCCATTTAGTTTGTGGACTTCCCAAAAAAGGGAGGACCAAGTGGATTGGAGTTGGAGCTCAGAGGGTGTCTACACAATTCCAGCCTCCGCCGATTTCAACACCATCGACTATGCCATCGGGGCCCTCTTACATGCCGCAGGAGGATTGCACTCAGCAGGCGATGCAGCTTGTTTCCTCTGTGATGAATATGTTAGATGGTCAGATTCCCGAGGAGATGTGGGAGGATATTCAAGAGGAGCTTATGCGAGTGATCCAGCCTACTGCTACTTTTGCGATGGTTTCTAGGCAAATAATGAAATCTTGTAGAAGGCGGGTTCCTACTCGGGTGCAAAGCCAGATTATGAACTTCTTGGCCACTCAAAAGGCATTTACTGGTAGTGGAGAGAGTAGCAGACATGTATACTTATTATATATGTAAAACATGATTACACACAATATTATGTGATTCTAAATTTAAATTATTTTGTTGTTAGAGTGGAGATGATGCTATTGGGAGCACGAGTCGTAGGGATGGAGCCGCCAGTGGCAACGCGGACGATGACATGGATAGGGCGGATGACCTATCTTAGTGAGTTATATCCTAAACTCGTGTTTGTATATTGTGGACATCTTTATAGTTGAGATTATGATACTCGTGTTTGTATATTGTGGATTTAGAACTTATGATATGTGTGTACAGGTTTGTTATGGGATTTTTTGTGGATTTAGAACTTAAGATATGCGTGTATGGTTTGTTGTGGAAATTTTTGTGGATTTAGAACTTATGTGAAAATTGAATGTACATATTTTCGAATATTTGGAGAAATTGAATTGAATTGACATGAGAGAATGTTTGCTGAAATTTGCGATTGCAATATATTCGAGATGTTTGAAGTTGTGCAAGAAAATGTCATGTTTGCAGATTTGATACATATGGAATTGATATTGTTTTGGAATGTGCAAGAATGTTCTGCTGATTGCAAATTTGATACAGGGCAATTTGATATTGTGTTATTGGAATGTACAGGGCGAATGATTGAATGTACAGGATATATGTTATGGAATGTACAGGGAAGGGGACTGATGTATCAGCCTAATTTTTTTTAGCTGCTATATATATCGTGCGGTAACCCCGTCAGCATAGGCCATCGGCTGACGTGGATCCCGTCAGCGAATGTACTTAACATCCCTTGACGGGAAAACCGCAGCGATGCTCATTGCTGACGGGTTCCCATCGCGATGTTATAGCAACGATTCGCTTACGGGAACCCCGTCAGCAAGTGCATCGCTGACGGGTTTCCCCGTCCGCGATGTATTATGTACCATCGTGACTGGGAATCCCCGTCAGCGATGCCTCATTATCAACTGACGGCTTTGGCCGCCAGCGTTGTTCCCGTCAGTAATAAGTATTACTGACGGGGCCCCGTCAGCGATACTTCTTCCCTGACGGGACTATCGCTGACGGCATATCCTTGACGGGATGCCGTCAGCGATACTTATCGCTGACGGGATTTTGAGCATTTCTGACGGGATTGCACGTCAACGATACCTGTTTTTCCACCAGTGCGTTTATGATGTTTTAAGAAATTTATGCAGAAAAAATATGAAAGTTTTAAAAATATATAGATCTGACATGCTCAACGCACGTGAATGTACAAAAGGAATAGTTAGGTTACTTTTTTCCGAAATTGACAAAAGCTAATCAGCCCATAGTCAAAAAATTAATATAAAATAAGAATAAGAATAAGAATAAAATAAAATAAAAAGAGAAGAAGAAAAAGGTGGTTGATCGTATAGTATAATTCCCTTCTTTTCCCACGCTCAAATTGCTTAAGGAGCTGTTTGGTTGTTGTTGGTAAAGTTGTGTATTTATGACACAACTTGGAAAGTTGTTGTCCACCTCATCAATTTCACTGAGTAACTTTTCTTTGTTTATTATTGATTCCACTAGAATCATAAATTGTTTGTTTGGTTTGCAAAATATAATTTTAATTGCTTATTTGGAAAGTGTAAAAAGTTGTTATTGTGTGGTCCATACTCAAATGACTCCATTGGCCTAGCCCCCTCACTTCTGACACATATGTCAGCTTTCCTTCAAAATCAGACTATTTTGAAGGGATTTGTGAATCCATGCGACATCAGCATAGTAAATAACTTTACACTATTTTCACAACTACAAACAAACAATTGAAAAGGAGGAAAGCTGACATTGGGACCCACTTTTTTACACTTTTCATCCTTTTATATAGTAAAAATTTACAACCAAACAGCCCCTAAGGGGCTATTTGAATGCATGTTTTCGAAGATGTATAGCTGGAAACTGCTAAAATTATGGGGACCTCTATCAGTTTTCACCAATTTACATAGTTTGGTTGCAATCCATTAAACAAGTGAAGTTGCTTATGTGTCATTCAAGTTGCCTAGGTGTCACTATAAATTCAATTCCAACCAAAATAGATGAATTTGGCTTGAAAGCTAACATATTATCATTAAAAGATAAAATAAACAATTAGGGGGTGTTTGTTTTAAATCTTATAATTTTAGGATATAAATTTCACTATGAGATTTGAAAACCATAGGTGTTTTGTTATGGGTTGAGATTTCTAAAATGTCGTTTGTTTCATTAATATTTTGGGATTTGGAATACTAAAATTTGTAATATTTTATTTGTTTCAAGTTCAAATTGTAGCATTACCAAATGCTAAAATTTTGTACTATGATGAATATCTATCTTGGTGAGGTTACCTCTCACAAAAAGACAAAATTGAGATTTGTGAAATCCTCTCCAATTGAGAGGTAAGCACAGCAATTTATGAGATTTGTTAAAATCCTCTCCAATTGAGAGGATTTGGCAAATTCTAAAAATTGAGCACTTTTTGCACTTTTAGGATTAAATATTCTAAAAAATTTCTTAAAACAAACATCATATATGAAATCCCAAAATACAAAATAAAACTCACTTTTTGATCCCAAAACTTGTAATCCACACCAAATGCCAAAATTTTTGGTGAAACAAACACCCCTTAACATCCCCACCAACCTGTTAGCATTACACCCTTCCGCCTCTTTCTTCTTCTTCCTGTGTCTTCTCCAACATTTACTGCAATTTTCTTTTCCCTCTTTGTTTCTTCATGATTGATCTTAGTTTTCCTCATTCAATTCGTTTTAAGTTAGGTCTCAAGTGCTCATGGTAATCCATTATTTTTCTTCATACTTAGAAACTTGTGCTTTTTGTCTGTCATAATTTTGTTGCTAATCCTACTACTGTTTTCATTTTAATATCCAAGATAATGGTTTTAACGCTTTGATATCTCAAACTTTCAATCCCATTTCATTGTAATATTCTGAGTATTTCTTTAGCACTTAGATACCCCAAAGTTTCATTGACATTGCACTTTGATTCCCCTTCCTAATGCAGTTTGATTTCTTTTAAATTTATATCACATATTTACAATGTACTATGCCTATACAAATTTAATAGAAAATCTAATGCTATTTAGTCATGGGTATCAAAGTATAAGGAGAATTAAACTTTTGGGTATCAAAGTGTTAAGAGACTACTTTTCGGTATCCAAGTGAAATGATATTGAAATATGGGGTATTAAGTGTTAAAAAAATACTTTATACTATCAAAATGGAAAAAAAATAGGTAAAGCTTGGTGTACCAAAGTGAAAATAAGTCTTTTTTTAATCTCACGAGCATTTTGAATGGGGTCTAATAACTCGCTTTCCATAATTATATCTTACCATCCAAACAAGTAGTCACCATTGTTTTAGGAATTACAAGAAATCCAATCTAAATAAAGTAAGGGGCTGTTTGGTTGGCATTTTTTGCCCTTGTAAAGCTGCCAAAACTGACAGCTTTTGTCAATTTTAACAGCTTTACAAGGGCAAAAAATGCCAACCAAATAAATAACTCAAGTGAAAATTGCTGAGGTGGATAACAATTTTCCACGTTGGGTCATGAATACCCAAGCTCTCAAACGGCCCCCTACGAGTTGACTCTAAAGGCATCTTCACGTGATGCTTTGCCAGAACAGTAATGCGAGCGGAGAATGTTAGTCAATTGCGTGGGACACCTCCTCTCTTTCTTCACGTGAAATGGAGATGAAGAGACGAAGAAAGAGAGGAGTCACCCATGTTGCTCAAAAGGTGAACAGTACTACGTACTAAGGCCCATGCCCATTTCTTGTGCAGTAGAGAGTGAAAATTTTGGAAACTCCTGTCACAAAAATACAAATTTCGTGTTGTCCTCAAAGGTGCCAATGGGCCACATTTGCGTATCAAAGTGAAATATATAGTTTAGTTTTTTATTTTATGTGATTTTTATTTTTGGGACAAAAGAAACAGATTAGAAAGCGTCAATATACGAACCCATGCATGGTTTTGAGCAATAAATATGGATAACTGAAATGCAGAAAGAAGGAGCTAAGTGCTAAAATAGAAGCCCTACGGCCCCTACCTCATTGTGTCCTGAACTAAAGTTTCCTAGCAAACACTGCTGCAAACACTGCTACTAAAGTTTCCTAGCAAATACCTCGGAATGTCATTATTTTGACCAACAGTTTCCTAGCAAACACTGCTGGGTTTGTGTTACTAGCAAAGATGAAAGATTTCAGATTAATTTAATTTGTTTGGGATGATGAAAAAAGTATATAAAGGGAAGAATGCGTAATAGGGTCACCCTCATACGAGAAGGAAGGTCATTTATCTCAGTGCAATCTATTTATGTTTCGGTTTTCATCTTTTCTGACTGCAGTTTGCCTGTAAAGGATTTATTGTCAGGGTTCTCGGCCAAATGTCCACCTTTGTATCTCTGTATTTTAAGCTATTTCCGTCATGAGTTTTAAAAAAATGACCGGATCTCTCCGCGGACCTGAAAGAAGTTCCGACAAAAAGAAAAAGAATGCAGAATAGGGAAATGAAGAAGAAGAATTAACATATAAAAGAAAATGAAGAACTACATAGCTAAATATCACAATTTTAAACCTAAAAACAACTGCTTTATTAGTTTATATATATATATATATATATATATATATATAGCTACGAAT